TGGAAGAGGACGGGGTGATGAAAGACGAGATCGGCTCATTTTTCAAATCAGATAGAGCATACAAAGAAGGAAATTGATCCTTTAAAGGGGCGCTCCCCACCCAGGTTTGTTCCCAAAATTTTATGGAATTACCGGAATTCAAGTCATACCTGATATTAGGGAAGAAAACTGGTAGCCTGCCAACAACCACTTCAGAAACCAAGTAACCAGCATTGATCCTATGGCGTGTGTCTTGATTTACGTTATCTAAGTCAGAACCCTGCTCATCCTCAACTTCTAATAAGCCATCTCCTTCTTCCTTGTCTCTCCCTCCTCCCTCCTCCCAGTCCTTGATTTTTCCCTCCACCCTAGCTTTATTCGCAACCCCATCATCCTTCTCCGGGCTTCCTCCCACTAGAAACAGAACCCCTAATCTCCTGGCTTAATTCTTAGCACGAAGAAATAGGGTTTGGCTCTTTCTTCCCTACCACTGGATCGAGCGCCAAAACATTGGAAGTGTCCTCAAACTCCTTACCACAACTACCTTGAGGATGCTCCTTAGAACTCGAAGAGTCTTCACAACTAATCGAGCAAGGCCCAAGTGTTCAAAAGTCAGAAGCGTTAGCCACCAAAAAAACAATATTCGAGGCATTCCGAGTAGACATGTAAGCTACCCCTTTCAAAAACAATAAACAATAGAGAAGAGAGACAAAACAAGAGAGAATAGAATAAAGAAAGAATTACCCTATAATGCCATTTATAAGTCCATATAATCAAATCCAATTCAACCAATTTCTCTCCAAATGCTTGGGTATATTTATACACCTATATCTAGGTTTCCTAGTTCCACTTACATTCTAACAATTACTACTAACTGTCCTCTTCTCATGGAAGGATTTACCAAAAATCACTTTCAAAAAGGAGCCTTCCTAATCCAAGAGACCAAGATTCCTATTAAAAAAATGAAGACATGTATATATGTACATGTTTGAAAATGTGGGGTTACTGGTGCAGATCTATATTTGGTAGTTGTGTAAAAATAGAATTGTATATATTCCTAGGATTGTGGAAGGATTGATTTAGAAAGTTTTTCTTTCTATTCTTGTACACTCTATTTTCTTTTCTTTCTATTTTTCTTCTTTTTATTTATTGCTGCAGCTTACTGTATAAATATGTCGATTGGCAATAGAATGATATACATCAGTATTCTACCATTCCAAAACATGGTATCAGAGTTCTAGGTTTGTCAACCTTGAGATTTTTTTCGGCCTTCATTGCCAGTTTTTCGCGTCTTTCTCTTCTGGCCTTCAGTGTTGATCTGTAACCAGAAGTGTTTCTTTATTCTCCTTTATTCCGGCCAGTTCTTCCCTCCTTTATTCTCCTTTCCTGTTGGCCTTATTTTTCCTCCATTAACAATGTCTAACATGACTGCAACAAGTGCTCCCGTCCACAACTAGTGCGTACCTATTTGAAGGGAAAAGGAAAAATTAGTCACCTTCTTGGAACAGGACCAAAGTTGGGCGAGCCAAATTTTGATGCTTGGGACGAAGAGGACTCCATGATTATGTCATGGTTGTGGAGTTCAATGACAC